CCACAAGGCGGATCCTGATCTGCAGACTCTGGGGAGAATCCACTTGCCAGCACATGTCTATCTGCTGCTGCAGAAGCCACTTCCCTCAGTTGTAGGACTGGAGTTCCATTTCCTTGCAGGGTGGCAGGCAGTGACCACCACCCCTGGGCACCCTGTCCCACGGGCCCCTCCACCTCAGCCACAGAGAGTACCCTGTCCCGTCGGTGTACCTGACCTCCTCTCCTTCCACCAGCTGGAAGAGCTCACTGCTTTTATGGAGCCCTATGATCAGGTCAGGACCTCTCCAACACTCTCCAGATCTTTAGGTCAACTCATGTGTAACCTCATCTGCAAGTGTAAATCCCCATTTCCACATAAGCAGCAATCACAGGGGTGACACCAGGGGGTAAATGCCATGGAGGCCACCTTAGTATTCACCTACCACAAAAGCTAGTAACAAAATCTTAAATAAAAATCTCCATGTCTTGAAATTTAAAAATACTTCCAAACAACACACCATCAAGAAAGAAATCATAATGAAAATTAAGACATTTGAACAGGCCTGACAGTGAAAACGTGACCCACAACAACTTTTAGAGTACCGTGAAGCCACACAGGTGATGTGATGTAAAATCAACGAAGTAAAGAGGGTAAAAAGCATAAGGTAAGCCTTTAATCTGAAAGTCAGAAAGAGGACAGAGAATAAGGAACAATTAGAAAATATTGGGTAAAAATGTCTGAGCTGTTAAATCTAAGACATAATAAAGAGGATCGCAGTCAAAATCTGGTTCCTAAAGACTACAAAGACAGGCAAACACTACATGAGATACAGTAAGTAGAAAAGAGAGCAAGTGAAAACAAACAGCATCAGGAATGAAAACAGGGAACATAATTGAAGAGATTTAAAATACTCAAGAATACTAGGAACAATTTCTTTTCCCTCAAAAACTGAAAACCTGGCTTCATATAATTAACCTAACTAGAGCTTTAAAAAAAAATAATCTTACAACCATGAAAGCAATTAAATCACTAGTTTTAAAAGTCTTCCCACAAATACCAGGTTACAAAGGCAAAATGTACCAAATTTTTAAAGATCATATAAAATGATCATATAAATATAGAGAATTGTCAACCAATTCACAGGGTCAGTTTATCCTTGAAACCCAAACCAGACAAGGATACTAGAAGAAGAACAAGAACAAAAAGAAGAAAAAAAAAGTAATCTCATTTATAAACACGGATGTAAAAATCCTAATCAAAAAAATAATAAGCCTAGCCCAGATGATGCTTAGTGGACAAGTTCATCCCAGAAATGCAAAAATGATTTAACATTAATAAATCTACAAAAGTAAGGGCGCCTGAGTGGCTCAGTCTGGTTAAGTGTCTGACTTCGCCTTGGGTCATGATCTCACGGTCCATGGGTTCGAGCCCCACATCAGGTTCTGTACTGACAGCTCAGAGACTGGTGCCTGTTTCAGATTCTGTGTCTCTCTTACTCTCTGTACCAATCTTTACTCACATTCCATCTCTCTCTCTCTTTCTCTCTCAAAAATAAACATTAAAAAAATTATAAATAAATAAATCTACAAAAGTAAATGCACACGTTAACAGACATGGGGGGTGGGAATCACACAATCACTTCAATAGATGTGGAAAAATAATTCAGCAAAATTCAGAGCCTATTAATCATTTTTAAAAATTTCTCAGACAACCAGAAAAGGAAGCTTCCTTTTTACCAAAAGCCTATCACAAGCTTCATTTTTGGTAGTGAAAAATTAACAGCTTTCTCTCTAAAATAAGTAACAAGGTTAAGTATATCAATTATGATCATATCTTAGCATGGTCGTGGAGGTCTTAGCTAGAGCAACATGGCAAGTCAAAGAAGGAAAGATTAACAGAGTGGAAAGGAAGAAGCCAACTATCATTCATCAGTAGTATGATCAATTGTTCCTGTAGAAAATCCAAGAATATACATAGAGCATATTAAAATTAAAGAGAGGAATTTAGCAAGGAAACCAGATGTAAGATGAGCACACAACAATCAACATAGCATTTCCAGGTATGAATCACACAGAAAGGATTACCAAAAAAAAAAAAAAAAAAAAAGAAAGAAAAAGATACCACATTTAACGGCAACAAAAACACTAGAGGCCTGGGGAAAATATCACAAAAGATGGGCAAGTTCTTCATAAAAAAAAAAACTATTAAAAGTGGGCAGGCACTAAAAAAGACCTAAATATATATAGAGAAAGACAGCATATTCCTAAAGAGGAAGATTCACATCCTAAAGATGTTATTCTCCTCACATTAATTAATTAATTATAGATGCAAGCACTTCCAACCAAAACACCAAAGGCTTTCTCCTAAGAATCCGCCAAGCTGATCCTGAAATCTGTATGGACAAGCAAGATGGAAAGGCTTATGCCACCAATGTTAAGAGTTAGCCTAAAGCTACAGTAATTAATACAATGTGGTATTAGTACAGAAATTGAACTATAAAGGAAAAGAATCACAAATTCAATTATGTTCGACTACATGAAAATTAAGAACCCTTGTCCACAGAAAGGCAGTATAAAGAAAATGAAAAGGTAAACCACAAACTGGGGGAAGATAATTGCAGCCTGGGTAACTGATCAAGGACTAGAATTGGGAGGATAAAAATTCTCCCGTAAATCACCAAGAAAAGGATATTTCAACAGAAATACAGGCAAAAAGGGTACAAACAGGCATTCTGCACAAAAGGAGTCATGAACGGCCAAGCAAAAAGATGCTCAAACTCACTGGTAATCAGAAAAATGTAAATTAAGATCACAATGAGATAATTATCTTCTACCCAGTAGGTTAACAATGAATAAGTAACTTCCAAGTTTTGGTAAGGATGAGCACCAACTGATAGGAGTCTAATCTGCTTCAACCATTTTTACAAAACAGCTATTGTCTTGTAACATTGAACATTGACAGTGCAATAATTGTACCCCTGAGTGTACAGCACGGAGAAATGGTTATAAATGTGCAGTGGAAGCAGCAAACAAGAGTGATCATAGCTGTGGTGGGTGGCAGACAAAACCTGGGAACAATTCAAATGCCCAGGGACGAGAGAATAGAAAAGTACATAAGGAAACAGCGGCACAGTTGTACAACGATGTGCTGTGATGTACAGACCACACACCACAGCCAAGCACAACTTGGGCAGAACTCAGGAAAAGGAATTCCAAGCAGAAGCAAAAGCAAGCCTTGGAACACTTGGACTGCATAATATGCTCTTTATAAAAGTCAAACAAGCCACGCTAAATGAGATCTTGCTGAAAAGTAGCTGGGCAGATGGTGAAACTATACATAATTTAAAAAGCAAGACAATAATAAACACAAACTTCAGAACAGCCATAACCATGAGGTAGGGAGAGAGGGGAAGGCGGGGGGCAGGACAGGAGAAGAGGCGCACAGATAACTTCCCCAAGACTGGAGATGCTTAAATCAGCAGTAAGTTGGTGGGTGCCCAGATCATTATCTGCGCTTCATGCCTTACATACATGTCATGCACTCTTTAGTAGGTATCAACACATAATTTTTATTTTTTTATTTTTTAATTTTTATTCTATTTTTAAAAAATTTTTTTCAATGTTTATTTATTTCTGAGAGACAGAGAGACAGAGAGACAGAGAACGAGCAGGGAGGGGCAGACAGAGAGGGAGACACAGAATCGGAAGCAGGCTCCAGGCTCCAAGCTGTCGGCACAGAGCCTGATGCGGGGCTCGAACTCACAAACCATGAGATCATAACCTGAGCTGAAGTCAGATGCTCAACCGTCTGAGCCACCCAGGCATCCCTATTTTATTTTTAAAGTTTACTTTTATTTCTTTTGAGAGAGAAATAGAAAGCAGGAGAGAGGCAGAGAGAGAGAGAGAGAGAAAGAGACAAAATCCCAAGCAGGCTCTGGGGCTCAACCCCACAAACCGTGAGATCGTCACCTGAGCCAAAGTCAAGAGTCAGACGCTTAACCAACTGAGCCACCCAGGCTCCCACAACAACACATAATTTTAAAAGGAAAGAAGAAGGAAAGAAAGAGAAAGGGAGGGAGGGTGGGAAAGGAGAAAGAAAAAGGAGAAAAAAAACTGCATCAGAAAACCACCAATCAAATTACTACAAAAAAGAACACTGAAGCCGAAATTCTGTAAACTGGGAAACTGACAAAACCTGAAGGCGTACATCTGGTGGTCAGAAAATAACAAAGAGTGCTTGTACTAAAAGGCAAATACCATGTCAAGACAAACTCTCAAAACTTCATCATTTCAGATGAAACTCCGGCCAGTTTCCCTCGCACACGAGCACACCGGGTTGGTCCACGTTTGCAAAGTCTGCACTTAATCCAAACTTCCTAAGTGAACACACTTCCCCCTTCACTTCCCTAGCAACTCCAGAGACGCGGCATCGCTGAAGTGACTTGGTCATTCGCATATGGTAGGAGGCAAAGTGCGCGTTTTAGGAAGATTTTGGCAAGCACCACGCAATCACAGCCATCCACGGTTCTCACACTCGGGTGGATGACAGTGAGGGCATGGGCAAATCCTCCACACAACCTGCGTGTCCCTCACAGGGCGCACCTTTATTCTGTCGGGCGTGCACGTGGCTGTGGGAGCAGCACAGTCCAAACCACCAGGCCAGCTCTGCCTATGTGCTGAGCATTCGCACTGCCACCCGAGAGACCTGGAACAAAAGACAGCCTCTGTCTATTCGTTTTTCAAATGCAGAGCTGTGAAGAGCTCTCTAGACAGTCAGGTAGACAGCGATGCAGGGGGTTAATGTTATCACCACTATTAAATTTAATTGATGAAGGTCTGGGCTGGCAGGATATTAACAGCAGTGGTGTGTCAACTCTGGCAGGAAGGAATGCACTCTTCTGTCTAGTCTCATCTTCAACAGCGTGAAAACACCAAAATGACAGCCTTCAGCAGAGCACGTTTCTAGCAGTGCCGCGCATTAAAAACTGCAACAGTGACAAGGGAAAAATAATCCGAGTTCAAGGGGCCCGTGATTTCCTCTGACTTCCCGATTCTGGTTCTCTCAGTATGGAGCTGAAGCGGTCCGTCCTCCTCTGGAGTAAAAATACAAACAGAGTTCTTTACATCTCTTAACAGAGTCAACCCGCTTCTACTAGCTTACCCAGTACCTGCTACCTCTGGCTCACCTATACATCACTCTTGCCGCTGACTGGATCCAGAGTACGCAGAAACACTGCAACCCCTTTAAACACAGGAAACAGAGGCAGACACACAGGACACAGGAGAGTCAAGAAGCTACCAGAGCGGGTGAGCCAACTCAGAACACCGCTGGTCCACCTTGAGGTCCAAAGGGGTTACCAAAGCCCAGGAGGCAGGGCCATCAGGAGTGAGAAGCACGGGAGGTGGGTGGCGCAAAGGGCTAGATGGGCAGCTGAAGCACAGGAAGTTCAAGTGCTCTGTTCAAGGTCAGACAAGGACCAGCCAAGCCCACAGCTCTCAGCCAGAGTCCTGGCCTTCAGTCTCCTGCTGGTGCCTCTCAGGGGCCGCATGTGCCAGAGGTCAGAAGGCACGGGAACCGGCAGAGCAGAGCAGGAGGGATGCCCTCCCCCAACACTCGTCCGCTGACTTCCAACAGACTCCTGGGTGACAGACGCCTCCTGAGAAGGTCCTCTCTCCTGACCCTCTTACATCGCCACTGCAATCAACGAAGACAACTGGAACACTACCTACCTGAGCTCCCTAAGCAACAGGTTTAAATTAAGGTTTAATTTAAATTAAGGTTTAAATTAAGGATCCACAAGAAAATAGGGGGAAAAAAAAATCATACAAAAACCATTCCTGTATTTGGCCATTTAAAAAAGCCAACATTAAATTGCTTACTATCCCTTATTTAAAACTTTAGGACAGGGGAGCCTGGGTGGCTCAGTCACTTAAGCATCCAACTTCAGCTCAGGTCATGATCTCGTGGTTTGTGAGTTCGAGCCCCGTTCGGGCTCTGTGCTGACAGCTCAGAGCCTGGAGCCTGCTTCGGATTCCATGTCTCCCTCTGTCTCTGCCCCTCCCCCACTCGCTCACACTCTCTCTCTCTCAAAAATAACTAACGTTAAAAAAAAATAAAACAAAACTTTAGGACAAATTCCTCCTACAGGAAAAGGTTTCTCTCTCCTGGATGGATGCTATTCATGCACTAACTGTACTATGAGTACTGGGGAGCAACTACTTCCCTTTTCACCATGGCTGTCTGTAAGCTCAAGGACAGACTTCATGCGTGCTTGCACAAGCTATCCTTAGCCTACGTTTCCTGGAATACTTAACTTTCTTAGTGCCTGGTTCTCTGGCAACCACAACTACCCAAATACGGTCAAGAAATAGAAAACAAACAGAAAAGCCTTCTGACAAAAGGCAAAATAGCTGTCACAAAATCCGTGCACTAAAGGTCACAGGCTCTGGAGCCAGCCTGCCTGGGTTGGAACAGTTATTGTAAATATGTCCCGTATGTTCAAGTCGAAGGAAAACAAGACCTGTTAAGAGAAGATATAAAAGAGACCCCAATGAAACTTAGGTGTAAAATACAGTATCTAAAATTAGAAATACACCTGGTGTGACTCACAGATTAGATATGGCAGAAGGGAAAAAGCAGTGACAATGAAGACAAAATAGGTTTTCAACTATCCAGGCAGAGGAAAAAAAAACAAAAAAGACAGAAGGAAATGAACAGAACATGTATAAGATGTGGGATGTATTAACCAATCTGACACACATCAGAGCCACCTGAGGAAAAGGAAAAAGGCAGAAAAATATTTGAAAAGATATTAACTATTTCTTCAAATCTGATGAAAAACCCGTACTCACAGATGCAAGAAACTCACTGAAACCAAAACATTAGAAACCTAAAGAGAACTAAACCAAGGCACATCACAATCAAATTGCTGAAAACAAGTGATAAGGAAAAACCTTAAAAGTGGCCAGAAAGGGGAAACAGGGCAGAGGAAAACAGTAAGCATGACAGCACGCTGGTCATCAGGAGCTACGTCAGGCAGGGCACAAGGGTACACCACACTTAAAGCAAGAAAAGGGGGAAAAAATGGTCAATCTAGAATTTTCTATGCAGCAAGATATCTTTCAAGAATAAAAGCAAAAACAAAGACTGTTTCAAAAGAAGAAGAAAAGGAAGACAGTCCATTTACCAGCAGACCTACATCTGATAAACACTGATGCGAGGTTCTTGGCACCAGATAGAAATCTGGATTTGCACAAAAGAATGAAGAGCACGAGAAACTGAAAATATGCAAATAAATATAAAAGCTGGGAGAAGGGGGGGTCCTAGTTTTAATCTCTTCAAAAGACAACTCGCCACGTAAAGCAAAAATAACAACATATTCTGGAGTTTGCACCATATGCAGACATACGATGTACTGAATGAGTACAACAGGAACACGGCTGGGAGAGGCCGAAGCTTCTCTTGTACAGAGTTCACACTGCAGGACACCGAATGCAGATGACGGGAGACTAGATACGTACACAACACCCTAGAGTCCCCACTAAGAAGGGACGAAGAACAGAGAGAGCTGATTAACCGACAGTATAGGGAAAAATTAAGCTAAAATCATTAAAAATATACATTTAAACAATCCAAAAGCAGGTAGGAAAATGAGAAGGCAAAAGATGAAACGGGACAAAGCAAACAGCAAGACGGCATGCTTAAACCCCACCAGACTGACGATCACATAAATGCACATGCTCTCAATACTCCAATTTCTAAAAAGACGTTATCAGATGAGAGTTTTTAAAAACGAGACCCAACTGTATGCCGCCTACAAGAAACACATGTGAAATACAATGACAAAATATGTAAAATGTAAATGGGTGGAAAAGCATTTTCCACAGAAATGCTAATGAAAAGAAACCTGGAGTGGTCATCTTAGCATCAAACAAGATTTGAAAACAAGAAATATTATTAAGGCAAAAGGCAGCCATTTCATAAGGATAAAAGGGTTAATTCACCATGAGGACGTAACAATTCAAAATTCTAAATATTGGGATGCCTGGGTGGCTCAGTTGGTTAAGCAACTCTTGGTTTAGACTCAGGACATGATCTCACGATTCATGAGTTCGAGCCCCACTTGGGATGCTCTTTGCCCCTCCCCCTTCTCAAAATAAACATTTAAAAAAAAATTCTACATATGCATGTACCTAAGAACAAGTTCAAAGCAAATGAAGCAAGAGCTGAGAATCGAAGGGGAAACAAATCTCGAGCTATCACAAATAATTTAAAGAACAGGGAGACAAGAAAAGCAGCAAGGAGACAGAAGACCTGAACTACACCATCGATAAATGTGACCCAACTGACAATGGAAAGAGCACTCTCCCCAAAAACCAGACTATACACTCCTTTCAAGTGCATACAAACATTCACCAAGACAGATCGTGTTCTGGGCCATAAAGCAATTCTCAATAAATTTAGGACTGAAATCATAAAAAAAAAAAAAAAAAAAAAAAAAAAAAAAAAAAAAAAAAAAAAAAATCCTCTGACCACAAGGTAATTAAATGAAAGATCAATAAGAGAGACATCAGGAAAATCCCCCACTATTTAGAAGAGAAACAACATATTTTTAAATAACCCATGCATTACGGGTGCCTGGGTAGCTCAGTCCGTTAAACGTCCGACTTTGGCTCAGGTCATGATCTCGCAGTTCATGAGTTTGAGCCCTGCATCGGGCTCTGTGCTGACAGTTCAGAGCCTACAGCCTATATCAGATTCTGTGTCTCCCTCTCTCTCTGACCCTCCTCCATTCATGCTCTGTCTCTGTCTGTCTCAAAAATAAATAAACCTTAAAAAAATAAAAAATAAATAAATAACCCATGCATTAAAGAAGGGATCACAAAGGAAAGTGGAAAACACTGCACTAAGTGAAAATAAGAAGACAACACGGCCATCTGTGGGATGCAGTGCTTCCTGCCTTCCAGGGAACGCTTAGCATTGAGTGTTAACATGAGAAAAGACCAAGGGCTCAACTCAGTGATCTAAGCTTCCACCTTAGCAAACTATAAACAGAAAGTAAACTAAACTGGCAGTAAGCAGAAGGCGGCAATAATAAAGAGAAGAAACCAACAGAAGACAAAAGAGAAAATCAATTATAACAAAAGTTGGTTCTCTGAAATTGACAAACCTCTAACCAGAACAATCAGAAAAAGAGAGAGAGAGAGAGAGAAAGAAAACACAAATAACCAGTATCAGTAATAAAAGCAAGGACCAGACATTCAAAGGACAGTAAGACAATATTAAAATAACTCTGGGCCAATAAATTGTTAGATGAAACGGCCAAATTCCCTGAAAAACAAATTACCAAAAAGTAACTCAGGAAGAAATAAATGACTTGAATAACACTGCCTACTAAAGAAACTGAATGTATAGTTTCTATCCTTCCACAAAGAAAACCCCACACCAACACGGCTTCATAGGTAAATCCCTACATTTAAAGAAGCGGTGATATTAATAGCACACAAACTATTCCAACAAAAGAGGCTCCATCTCATGAGTCACAGATTTTGCCCTAATTCCAAACTAGAAAGACACTCCAAGAGAAGAAAGCTTCAGGTCAGTATCCCTCATAAACACAGACACACAAATCCTCAAGCTATGAAAATATTAATACACCAAGCCCAGCGGGGATTATCCAGGAATGCAAAGTTGGTTTGACATATGAAAATCCAGCACTGTAATTCACTGCATTAATAGCACAAAGGAAAAGTTTCCCCAATCTAACAAGAAGCTCCTACAAAAGTGCCCAGCGAAGATGACTCTTCATGGTGAATAACGGTGATGTAAAACAAGCTGGCAGGAAATCTGGAGGGAATCCTCCCACCTACCGCTCCACAAACCCAAGGTCAAGGGGGGGAAAAAAGCCATTCCTGTGAGAATGCCCAAATGAAGCAATCAAGCTTGTGATCTTTATTCAATCCTCCAACGGTTGTCAATACTCTGTGCCCAGAGGGGAGCACGCTGGAGGCAACGGAGGCTGTTTGCAGGAAAGCACCCGCCTGGCTGCCCGAGTTCTTCCGAAGAGCCGGCTGACTTTTCCATGAAACAAAAGCTTTACGTGTAGAGATGAGTAACAAACTACGGTTACTCAGACTTGGGTATCCGGCAGACATTTCCTCAAAAATAAACAAAGCAACACTACTTGATGCCAATGATAAATGACAAATTGAGAGCTTTAAGTGATAATTACAACTCTGGAAAATTTGTATCCCCCACCCGTGGTCCCCGATTCTAAGGCTGCTCTAAGTTGAAAGGCAGTGATATTAACAAGCCCGGGGTTTTAATACTGCACGATGAAACATGTCAACATTTGGAAGACGCGTGTAAGTCAGCAAACAGGTATTTTCCAAAAGACCAGGAATGATGTTACAAAATCATCCAAGGTGCAAGACACACGTGTCGATTTCCACTTAAGGGACTACAAAAAGCTCGCTAAGGGCTCAGATTCCACACAGCAAAGAACCTTCAAGGAACGAACACTTGCCAAGTTCTGATGCCATCTCAGAGAATATCCACGATTATCTGGAAAAGCTATTAAAATGCTTCTCCCTTACCAGTTACTTATTTGGATGAAGCCAGATTCTCTCAAGATACTTCAACCAAAACATATCACCACAGATGGAATGCAGGAGGCACATGTGAGATCTAGCTGCCTTCCACTAACCCAGTCATTTAAAAGACGCAGAAGGGGGCACCCGGGTGCCTCCATCTCTACCTCCAGCAACCCAGATGCCTTTCGGGACCTAATTCCCCCATCTGCAAACAGGAGGAAAATCAGGGGAACACCTCTGTATTCTCTGACATCCAGAGCACAAGCAGAGGAGAATCATATG